AATAAAAGCTACTAGAACTCCCAACGTCCAAATTGCTTGTTCCAATTAGGTCATAATCCAAGTTCCCTTGATCTACACACCACCAGGTCATTATTTATTCCTTTAATAATCATGCACTTTTCACCCGAAACCTACAATAGTGCCTTCTCTGACAATCCAAACCCTAAGAATAATTGTCCCAATAGTAGCTTCATTCATGTACATATATACATACCTATGCATCTCCACCCAAATCATGGTAACTCCTACCATGCTGATTAACAAACAGTAAATTTTATAGAGCCCCCTTACCTTTCTTTGGCTGGCTCTCGGTCGCTTGTTCCATTAGGCGCAATTTGCCTCCATGGGTATGTGCAATAATTTTACCGCTTCTGCTCGAGAAGACCCAAAACTCGAAAGGCAGAGTGACGAGATCCTTTCATGATGACAACTACCAGCTCTCCCCGATTCACTCCCTCTTCGTATGTAATTGTGGCACCTGACGAGCAGCTTGATAACAAAACGGTGTGTCTTGATAACAAAACGCTGGGAGTGGCGTCGTTCCTTGCAAACGACGGCGCATTGAGATTTCGTCCTTCAAAGTATTCAGCTCCTCAGTTCACAGGCTCCTCGTGCAACGCTCTTCTTCCTTGTTCTCTCTCAAGACACAACGACATCTTCCTCAAGCCTGCTTCACAATTGTCACCGCCTCTACTGGATCTCATGATGATCGAAGCTATGGCTCCTCCATTAGCAAACAATCATCTTCTTCTTTTCCCCTATAAATTATGTACTCTTGCCTTTGTTTAGGACTCGACAGTCTGTAGTAAGAGATATAGAGAAGTGTCTCTTCTACCTTGAGTCCATTGTTAGCTTCAGTAGCTTAATTCACATTGTCTGAAACTGGGTGAATTAAGCTTGGGAAGTTGGTTTGGGTTTCTCATTTGTTCAAAGGGCCAATTTGATTGGCTTGGATTAGGGTTTATCTTGGGTTCTAGGTCCAGATCTTCACCTATATTGCAAAGTATACTTCCTTGATTCTTATTTAGATGGTTAGATGTTCCTCTTCATCAAATGAAAACTAGGCCCATTTTTTTGGGTTTGTGTTCTTTACAGGTTAGTTTATTCTCTCTTACAATCACATGCAACCTTTCACATTACTCGCTTTATGCGAAGTGTAGCGAGCAGGCATCTAGTTTTCTTAATGTAAGTAGAAGGTAACTATGTGATATGGTCGTTCGTTTGTCGAAAGATGTTAAAACTTGGCCGGAAGTAGTAGATTGTTTATCAGAAAGAGGTATTTGTTTTTTTTTTGAAGCAGTCGACCGCTTTTGAGTAAGTGGTAAACTGTTTTCCAGAAGCAATCAATCGGTTTCCTTAAGCGCTCGACCAATTTTCACAAGCAATTGACCTTTTTCACCAAAGCATGGTGACTTGTAAGTCATCATAGTGATTCGGGCCCAAATGTACACATTTTACCCCTCATTTCTTATTCGTTTAGCTTAGTATTTCATCATTCCTCGACATATTTCACGCTAGGTTGTGCTTGTTTTGATACATTTCAGGTCCTAGCATGTGTGGAAGGCTCGAGGACGAGTTTTGGGATAATTGGAGGTCAAAAAGCGCAAAAATCAAAAAAAGTCCGAAGTCTCTATTTGGAGGCGTCCTGGAAACAACTGTTGTTCACGATCGGACAAGGCAGCTCACGGTCTCCTAAGACCGTGAACATGGACCACTAACCGTGAACATCGAGCAGTCCAGCGAGGTTTCAGAGGTTACTAACGCCAAGGGAGTTCACGGTCTCTAAGACCGTGAATTGGGGTCATTGACCATGAACCCAGGAGAGTGAAGCTGTGCGTTTTGGAAGACACTGAGTTCACGAACGCGCTTAGGTATTTACGGCCGTGAACTGCCTACGCATGCGTGAACTGGTCACTTTCGGGCAAATATGAAGACATAAGCGGGGAGAGAGAAAATGAGAGCTAGTTTTTGGAGAGAAATTCAATTCCCTCTCTAGGGTTTGCCCAAAAACACCAAAGGGGAGTTCTAGTGAGAGAGAGAGGGTGCTAGATTGATCTTGGAGCATCATTGGAGGCTTGGGTGGATCTTGAAGACAAGGATTCAAGCTTAGAAGAAGAAGAAGATCTTGAGCTCAAATTTGTAATCCCTCTCTCTCTCTAGAAACTCACTCTTTTCTCTTGGGCGTTGTAGATCCCTAGCTACTAATACTTTATAATTACTTGTTTAGATTGAATGATTTCGTATGGGTTGCATCAATTTGAGTATTAGAGGTGTTTTCATGGTGATTGTGCTTAGTTGTGCTTTCCAAATCTTATGTGCTTGCCTAACCTAGATTAGAGGAAAACCACACCTAGTTAGGTAGGCTTGACAATCTTGGTTTTCCTGGGCACTTAGTGCCTACTATCTAGGTTAGAGATGAGCATCCTCCTTGACTCAAGTTTGCATCTAGGTTGGTCGTGATTAAGCAGCTCAAACTCCGGTTTGAGGGAGAGACCTAGGCAACCCCTAGAGACTGAGTGAGAGGATCGATCCTGTGACAAATTGGTCTCTAGTGAATCCATCCCATGACAAATGGATCACTAGTTGCTCCTCCTAGCGGTTCCCTTAAACTTGGTGAGTGGATCGATCCCATGACAAATCGATCGCTAGTGAATTGATTCCGTGACAAATCGACCACTAGTTGCTCACCCCCGCGGTTCACAACCACCTACACCACACGACTCCTTTCAGTCCAACGAGTCATGGTAGCTAGTTAGGGGGAAGCAACTCCTAGGTGAAGCTCCCTTAGTTAGAGTTTTCCTTTATTTACTTTTCTTTGCTTGTTTAGTTTGTAGTTTTCTTAGTTTGAAAACCCAAAACCGTTTGGCTAAATAATAACTTAAGCGATTGAAGTAGGGGTACATGGACCGGCCCAGGTTGACAATTTAAATACTTGCTCTATACTTCACCCGACTAGAGTTTAAAAACTTGGGCTCTAGTCGGGATTAATTCACAGTGTAGTTTCGTATGAGTCACATAGACATTCTCAAAACATTTTAACAAAATATTTTTTGTTTAGTGTGGTAACTATTAATATATATAAATGTGAAATTTGGTTACTGTTGCCTTATTATTTGCATTTTGATACTCTAAATTTAATTAAATCATAATTTAGTCACTATAATGTACACTTTACATTTTGATACCCAAATTTAAGTTTAATATAAAATTATTGAACAATTATGTTTTGGTATCTAAAATTTATGAAATTTTGGTACCTACAATTTTTTTAATTTACATATCGGTCCAATGTTTAGATTTCACTTGAGTCCATGAATCCAATCCACCATAACATAAAAGTATAAATTTAATTTGTACAATACAAGATGTTGTATCATTCAACTGTAGGAGAAGATTCGACCATTTTATATTTGCTCATTACGTGAATCATTAAATAAATGATAAAAGAGATACGACTCTAAAATATTAGAAGAGCGAATTTATAAACTCATTTAGTAGTTAGTACATTTACGGGTACTAAAAAAACTTATACTAACTATATGTAACAAAATATGCGACATCTACATAAGCAAGTGTCAATAAATTGCTACGGTGAAAATGGTTGATTGTTGTATTGACGTTCAACTAAAAGAATTGGTCAAAACCTTTCCATCATCTACTTCCTCTTCATTTCATTTTTCACTCGACTTCCATAACCCTTTCTTTATTTCTTTCTTTGTTTTCTTCGTTTAACCTTAATTAGTATACTGCTTTTATGTATTCTGATCACATGTATAAATATATATGGTTATTACTTATTAGATAGTCGTTATTTTCCACTATGGGATTTGAGGGCGTGAAATTTTAAGTGAGTTTCAGTTTGTATTTCTTTTGCTTCTCTCTATAGTTTTTCTTTTTCACTCAGACTAGAATTTTCAACAATTATACATGAAATATTTGGCTAGGTATCTACACATATCAAATAAATAGTTTTTATTTTTCTATAAAAAAAGTAAATAGCTATTATCTTAAATACATCGCCATAAAAGGAATTAAGTCTCAACTATGCAAATTACAATTTTATACCTAAACTTAATAGATCTTTAGATTTATAACCTAAATTTATTTTTTTGGCATATAAGTCCTCAAAATGTTGATGGAAATTTTTTGTGTATTACATTTTGGCACCTAAACTTTTAAAGTTCTACAAATAGGTTTAATTTTTGTATGTGTAATTAAAACACTCTCGAATAAATGAGTATCTATACACAACTCATACACATTTAGATTATGGAAGTAAATATTCAAATCCTACCCAAACCCATCTATAAACTTCCAAATCCATATATACGTCACTCATACCTACCTATAATCAATGGGTCTACTCGATTTTAGGTAAATATCATTTACTAGCCAAAATTTTCATAAAAAATTAAATTGGATGTTGACCGCCATATATCTTTTCTCAGTCAATATCATTTGGTCAAGTCAATATTACTCACAAAACTGCTAATAAAAAATTAATTTTAGACTAATAATATTAACAAAACACCATAACGGGCCATATAATACATGCACATAGGCCATCTCCACACCGCGACAAGGCGCGCCATCGCCACATAGTAATTTATAAAAGGTAAGTAAGTCAATTGGTTGACCTGGATAACCCGACCTGTCGGTAGGTTGAACAATTGGCAATTCAATCTATCTGCAAGTTGAAGTTTTGAACAACCCACAATTCCAATTGACCTCTAACCTGACCCATCGCAATCCGAACAACAGACAGCCCTGTTGACCATGATCCAGATGAATTCGAACAAATGGGTATATAAATAACTCTTCCCACACTTTCACATTTGTTTTTTTTTTTGGACAAATACATTTGTCTTCAATGACTCATCATTTCTCATAATATAAATTAATGTTAGAAATGTATGAGCTATATGTTTTGCAGCTATATATAAATATAGGACACACGGTAAATGAAGAAGAAGAAGAACCGCGTTGATGTTGGTGTCTAGCTAGTTGAAACCATTGATAGTAAGGCCACCGTCGACAGCAATAACTTGACCAGTGGTGTAGGAAGCAGCCGGGGAGCAAAGGAATGCGACCCATGATGATATCTCGCTTGCCTCTCCAATTCTTTCCAACGGAATTCGGCATGTGATCGCCTTCGCTGCTTCGGGGGACTACTCGATCGATCATGTCGTGAAAAAAACCAGATGCAAATTAAATGTGGTTAAATAAAAGAACTGGGGACCAACTTAGAGAAAGAAACACGTGGAACAGGACAACTGAGAAGGAAGGAATAGCTATGTGGTCGTACCATTGCGGACGACAACATTTTGGTCATAATGAGGCCTGCAGCAACAGCATTCACGCGGATATTATCTTTCGCCCACTCGCAAGCCAAGCTTCTTGTCAGCTGATTCATTGCAGCTGATGAATTAATGTACAGAGATTAAATAGTCAACCCACGGAGATGGAGATGGAGATGGAGATGGAGATGGAAGAAAGAAATCATACCAATAATAAAAGTAATTAAGGGTGCATGCATGCGGGATTGGCAATTTAATGTACCTTTAGATGCACCGTAGACAGAAGTATAAGGCAGTGAAACGATGCCGGATATGGAAGAGATATTGACTATACTTCCCAATGTTGATGCCTTCAACAGAGGATACGACAGTTGACACAAATGATATGTTGCATCAAAATTGGTGCCCATTATCGTTGAAAACTCCTCACAAGTTACTTCCGGAGCTTTCTTATGCAATAGAGCTCCGCTATTGTTCACCTTGTAATTAGCAAAAATAATAACAACAACAACAACGTAAATCATGATTAGTCTACGTATTTTTAATGGTGCCATAAATGTCTCTTCCATCGAACAACATCGTAATCAAATTCCTTTTTTTTAAGCACTCCTAAAAAAAGTTCAAAGTAAAAGCTAATTTTGCAAAATAATCTACACGATGACCAAACCACCCTTTAGTTATATTTGGACCGTATTAGTATGGGACAAATATTTTTGTCAGCCTGGTCATGTTTACGAATAGCAACCGAAACAATTAATTTTAATTTGAAAATAAATATGTTATGAACTGAAAATAACTCTGCAAAATAATTATACCTTTACCATTTTATATGCATCAATATGTATTTATGCAAATGGGATGCTCAATGCTATTGAAAAACCATTGATATTTGCCGCATGGATGCTTTCATACCACTTGCTCAATGCTATTGATAATTATACCGATGACACATTCCTTTTTTGCTTTCATACATACTTAAAAAAATGTTGCATTTACTTTTTCTCTAATTAAATTTCCTTTTTTTTACACTCCCCCGTGCTCGAGGATTTTCAATTTTAAGTCATATTCGAAATGTGTAACCTCAAAATCATACAAAATTTATATCCAATCTCGAGGCATTTTACCAAAAAATGATTGGGATCTAAATATTTTTTATAATATATTACTTTTTAATATGATATTGTGTATTCTTTGTTTTAGGTTGGAATTCAAAAAATAAATTTATTTTAATCTAGAAATAATGCATGTCTTGAAACATTTCTGCTAAATGGTTTTTGTGATCATGGATATTATGCACCTTGATAAATTTGTTATGCCAACATGGTATATTTTTCATACGACCTCCGTAAAAATATTTTTCATTAAAAAATATATCAAAATAGGGTCCTTTTGTAGAGAATAATAAATTTAATTTTATATGCATACAAATTTGAGAAACCTCCAGGAACACTTTGTTAAAAATAATATTTTATTTTTCTCTAGTGCAATTCTAATTCCTTTCTTTTTTATGTGTGTAAAGATGGATAACCTTGAACTAGTATCACATGAATAACCCCGAATTACCCCGAATTACGCAGATTTTATAACAATGTCTCAAACTCTTAATTATCGAAAAATATGAAACTCTTAGATCTCTCTAAGATTTGAGATTGAATGACATTTTCTTAATCTCTTATGTCTTAGTTAATAATTTTTGTTTATGATATACCAACATTCTATATTTAGTACCTCCATGATATATTTTTATTCTTAAATGTTACATGACACCACGATTAGACTGTTTTGTTGTAAAATATATAAAAGCGAATGTTATTTTGTAAATATAATTAATTTTCAATTAAAGTTAATATGAATGAGTTATAATCCGTTACAATTTAATGAAAAAGTGGTTATGCATAAATTTGGGATTATAAACTTAAGTTGTTATTGCCAAAATTCACAACTATTGCATTAATTTGGATTAATATATTGCACGCTCTTTGTGAGATCTAGGTAACCTAATCTTTATTCTCCTATGTTTACATACTTTTTTCTTGCAACATAAAAGCAACCAATTTCGTTTTAGTGTTTGTATCTAATTCATTGATGTATGCTCTTTGTAGTGAAAGATTATTTTTGGAGAGAATTAAGAAGAAGACAGTATTTGACTGCCAAAACAGGAAAGATAAGACAATGACTCACACTATACTTAAAGTGGGTGGGTTTAGTATGAAATTGTCTATTAATAGGTATTTTAACTTACCATACAATTATTATCATCTATATGCTTTACACCTCCTTGGATTATTCACATTGTATACTTTCTCTACAGCTCAAAAGATAGATTACAACTATTCACTCTCCAAGCTAAATGAAAAGGTAAAACACATTCATATGAAGAGTTAATAACAATTTGTGCCCTTTACTATTGCAAATTAACAAATGTGCCCCTCAATGATTTTTTTCCCCCACAAACGTACCCTTCTAATATCATAACATAACAAAATACCCTTTTGTTTAAAATTTTGTGAAGTCGTCATTAACTGGGACGATAGAAAATGCTATTAACCCTAATATGAAGCATAAAATAATCACTTCCAGAAGGAAATGAAGGAAATAGTTTTGCATAGTTGAAATACGCACACATGGGGAATATAATTTAGATTACTGATTCGGGGCCAATTGTACACATTTTACCCCTCATTTCTCGATAGTTTAATTTGCCTGTGCATTTCATCTTCCCTCGACATATTTCACGCTAGGTTGTGCTTGTTTTGTCATATTCGAGGTTCTAGCATGTGTGGGAGAGTCAAGGACGAGTTTCAGGTCGATTGGACGTCGAAAAGCGCAAAGAGCGAAGAAAAACCAATTGTCACGGTTTGCTAAGGATTGTCACGGTCTGCCTGACTGTGACAATTACCCAGTGGGCGTGAAGTATGATGCAAACAAGAGTTTTTGCACACCTCACGGGACCACGGTGTGTTCACGGACAATCTGCCATTGACCGTAAAGTTGGACCAAAAGCGCACTAGTAACGTGTGTTTTGGTCTGATGTCACAGTTTGTGCTCCAATGTCACGGCCGTGAACAGTGCCCATGAAAAGTGACTATCGGGCTCTATAAATAGAAGGCTATTGGGAGAGAGAAAGTGGAGCTTTTCTAGGGTTTTAGTTTTCCTAATAAAGGAGGGTTTCTAGTGAGAGATTAGGGTTCCTCTTCCTATTCTAGAGAGAGAGGCGCCATTCAAAGGAAGAAGAAGGAGATTTGGGCTTGCCGTAAGATAAATGATTGAAGGTTTCTTCTTCTCAAGGGAGATTCAAGCAACAGGGAAGGAAGATATTCATCACTTCATGGTTCTTTCACACCTTTTTGTTGATTTCATTTGCCTAGCTATGAAATAGCCTACCTACTCACTTGGGTATTGTGAATCCTCATCTAGATGTGTGTTAGGATGTAAGAACATGATTCTATTGTGTTGATTGTGTGTTTTATATAATATTTGAGGTATTAATCACGAATGATTGAGTGTTGCTTGCATTAACTTTCGAGGTTTGGGTCTTGCAATCCCTAGTTGATTAGTTAAGAGGGCTAGATTGCCTAGCCTATTGTTGTCATCCTTAGCCGAAAGGTTAAGAGAGTTAGTCTACTAACTTAATGCAACACCTTAATTGCTCAACTAAGAGAGTTAGGATTCCCTAGATTTGTTCGATCAAGAGAGCTAGGCCTCCTAGCTTATTATTGCAATCCTTAGCCGAGCGGGTAAGAGAGCTAGGTTCCCTAGCTTATTGTAGCAATCATTGATGGATAGACTAGGAGGGCGTGTTCCTAGCTAGTTGCACCCGCTTCGCGGTATATGAACACATCCTTCACACTAGACTTTTGTTCATGGTTTCCTAATACAAGACTAAGGGAAGCACTACCCGGGTGAGGTCCTCTTATATAGAATTCTCCTCGATTTACTTTACTTGCTTGTTTTCATTTGTAGTTTTTCATAGTTTTTAAACCCAAAACCAATTGCTAGATAACGTTTAAGCGATTGAAGTAGGGGTACATGGACCGGCCCGAGTTTGACATTTAAATATACTTGCCCTATTCTGCACCCGGCTAGAGTTTAAAAACTTGGGCTTTGGTCGGGTCAATTCTCATGGCATGCAACTGTTTTCCTTCATTATTGTTTGAACCATATCGTTTTCATGGTTGCTTAGTTACCAAATATTTGAAATCTTTTTACTCTTGGACCTTCTTTAACAACATGTCAGTGTACTTTTTCTTTTATGTTGAAAAATGAAAGAATATCTAAACCTATCCTACTCAAAAAGTATCTCTTTGTGCTAAAAAAAAAAGGAAAGCCAAGCTCCCTGTCAATGTACAGTCGCCTCAATTCATTAAGGTTTTATTAGAGTCGGACTAGGAAATTTGATGATAATTTTTGGAAGTGAATAAGGATTTATAATCATATCTTCGATTTTAGTTCTAAAAGATCGATCACAGTTTGAATGTTAGACACATAGTACATGTGTTTATAATGGAGAAATAATCTGAAAATTGAACATAATCAATTAATAAATGATAAATGGAATTCTCTATGTGAAACTGTTGTGATCGTGTTGAAGGAAATGTTAAATGATCATAATATCTTGATTCGAATATGTCAATACGCCAAAGAAAAACTCAATGAAAGGCCATGTACAAATTCTAAAACTGAAAATATTGTTCAATCTAAGATTAGATGAGCAGGAATATGATATTGGCAAAGATGTAACTCTCATAATAGACAATTAAAATAAATAAATGTAAAGAGAAGTAAGAACTCAATATAAGTATATTCCAGAAGAAAAATGACAAATAATAACAAAAAACACAAGAAAACATATACCGCTCATCTGGCGAGCATGAGAGTAGTAGTTCAATTGTTTTGGTTGTGAACCAAATTTGATCCTTACCAAAACTGTATGTACGAATGAAGGGGATTGCTGATTATCGCCCTAAATTTTACTATAATCGCCCTAAATTAAAAATTAAAATTATGTGTTTATCCTTCTGTTTTTTTATAATGAAAATATATTTTAATTAAAAAAAAACACAATCTTCCCAACAATAAAATAATATGAAGAATAATTCACTGCTACCCTCCGCCGGCACCGTTACTCACCTTAGGCCACCATGGAAAAGAGAAACCAGTGTATACAATTTTTCTCAAATTCTGTTAATTATTCATCCCCATTATAAGCATTAATAGTATTTATGATCTGATTCCCGCTTAGTTGCACGAAGATCCTCCTTGAAACCCCTTTTGTATATCACCACAATACCAGAGAAGAAGGGTTTTGCCGATCACATAAAATGATGGTTTGGGGGAGAAGTGTAGGCGCCGGTCAACAGGAAAGAAGTCGGCGGGGAGGAGGGTCAACATCGGTCAACTGTCATCTGAACTCATGCATATACTGGAGGAGGAAGTCGGCGGCGGTTGGATTGGGTAGATGCAGGGGGGCGACATCGACGGCAGAGGGGCGGAATTTTTTTAGGAACGTTTGATTTGTGCTTTTTGTTTTTATTTGTTCGTAGACGATTATGTAATTTCCCGGTTTAAGTTAGGGAGAGATTTAGCTATTTAGAGAATAAATGAAATGGCAAAACATACAATTTTCCTTCCGTTTTGTTGCGGCCAGGTCATCCGAACTACGGTTGACTGTAGTGGATGCTTTTTGGACGAAATTTTTAACATAATGGAATGTTTGAAGATTTTTCTAAACTATAGGTTATATCTTTGATTTAAAAAATAATAGAATAATATGTTTGATAAAAATACATAATAGAGGGACATATTAGGGTATTTCTGTGGTGCCGGCGCGGTACTAGTGCCGCCATCATTTTAGCCGTTGGATATGATGTGTTAAATAACCTTCATTGATTAAAACCCAAACTTAACCAAATATGGATCAACCAATAATATATGGTTAAACCTATGTTTAATTTCAATTCATTATTGCCGTTGGACAAGAGCAATGATGGCGGTGCTGATTCTGACTGAGGATGTATTCGGTATTTGTGTGATGATGATGTAACGACGGTGATATGCTGATGGTGGCCAGGTGGTAACTTCAACCTACGGGGGAGCCGACTTCCAGATGATGGAGAAAGAAAATAAATAAAGTGGAAAAGAGGAATGGCCGCTGCCTTTCATTTTTTAATTTTGTTTTATCAATTTATTATCAAATCAGACCAATAAATATTGTCTAAAACCATTTCAAATCAAACCCATTTTGTTTGAACCGGTCAGGATAAATGCCGGCACCGGTGCCGCTACGGCATCACAGAATTTGCCGACATATTATACTAATAACTATAAAAATAAATAATTAGGGCGATATAACGATCTGGTGCATATCAGATACTTAATCAAATATGATTGAATATATATATATATATCGATTCTATTTTGATTCTACTGACTTATTTTAAGATGAAGAACAATGAACCAAAATTGAATTTGTGCCGCACCAAATCCAACTAAATAAACCAAACATAAGTTTGGCCTGATTATGTTCCTCATTTTTTGTTTGCTTTTGGCCAGAGCTGGTCTAGCACAGCTCTGTATATTGAGGGGAGGAAGCTTACAAGGATATTGAGCTTTCCATCAAAGAGAGAGGAGACAGATTCCATAAGGCTCAGCCGCTGGTCTGGATGCAGGACGTCACAGACCGAACCCGTGACCCTGTAGCCTTTGGTGTGCCACTGTTGTAGGCAGCGGTCCAGGTCCGCTTGGGTGCGAGAACAAGTGTGGACTGCGGCCCCATCGCCGGCTAACTCCTCTACAATGGCCTGCCTGCAAATATTAATGCACCATCATATATATGTGCATATATATTTTCCTCCTAATTATATTATTATGGAATGAAGGATGTGGCGATGCTCACCCTATGCCTCGTGTTCCGCCGGTGACAAGGGCAGTCATTCCCTTCAGAGACCGTGCTTTCGGCCGCTGGCCGATCACCTCTTCAGCAATCGTCGCCATTGCTCAGCTTCAATTCAATGATATCCTAGCTAGTTTAGCTTAGCTTTGCTTAATTATTGGCAACAAGTTGGTACTCTCCAGAAGCTGGGTATATATAACTTAATTTGGGTTGTTAGTCCACTTGTATTTGTTTATAATCTGGCTTCTCAACGTTGGCTTTGATGTTCGCGATTCTCAACTGTTGACATTAATTGCAGCGTCGCAATCGCCAGAACCGCATCGATTAGATATAAGTAAACCAACTCCCGACAAAAAAAAAAGCCATCTCCCGACAAAATATTATTTCGCCAACAGTTGACAATCGCCAACAATAACATCAAGGAAAGTTAAGGCCAACTTTGACAACCCAGATTATATACAAGTGGACAAACAACGTCCATCTCAATGCTCATTCAACTCCTAATTAATCCCAATTAGTTATTGTTTATACCTAAAAATTAATCTCATACCACATCGATTAATTATAAGGGATTTCATTTATTTATAACGCCAACTCAACATTAATTATTAAATGAGCTAGCTGGGCCTTATTAGAGTTTTGGGCCTATGGTATGAAATTTGCCTTGGTACCCATACATGAAATTTGGCTACGTCTTGAATCAAGAAAGTGATAGGTCAGGTACTCAAGCATGAAATTTGGCTAAAGTGTTCAGACTCAACCGCAACGGGGGTCAAGCACCAAGTACCATGAACAACTACCTACCTCGCACTCGGGTATCAAGTATGATGCCATGCAAGGGAGGCCATCGCGAGTACCCCTACCATGACCACCTACCTACCTTCACTCGGGTATCAAGTATGATGCCATGCAAGGGAGGCCATCGCGAGTACCCCTAGACGGGGGCCATCACGAGTACCCCTAGACGTGATGGGGAAAGAAGGAAAATTTGGATAAGTGTTGAGACCCAACCACAAGGGGGGTCAAGCATGACATCACAGGCTATCGCGAGCACTCGGGTATCAAGCGTGATGCCGTAGAAGGAGAGTTAACGCGAATACCCACAGAATGAGGTAGGGGGTCAATCATGATGTCCTGCAAGGGTCAAGCATGTTGTCATCAAGGGGGGGGTCAAGCACCATGTACCTCGCCACTCACCCCCAAGCAAGGTCGTATGATGTCAACCAAGGAGGGTTGCCTTGCCGCCGTTAGTATATCATCACATGGTAGACCACCTTGTTAAGACCCCACAAGCATGACCACCCCAATGAGGTCAGTGTGCATCCATCAACCCTCCAAGCATCCTAGTGTCAAACATAACATCATGCAAGGGTGTCGGCATGAAGATACCACGAGGGCACAAGGCGGCCACCTACCAGGTGGAGTCATCAATCAGTCAAGTTACCAAGTGGTCAGCAGGCAAGCAAGGCGGTTAAGACATCAACGCAAGCTACATCAAGCACCAAGCATAGGAGGTAGCGGTTACACGAAGCAGTTACCTAGCGGTTATAGGGGATGGCTATAAATAAGAGAAACGAAGACGAAGCAAGGGTTCCACAACTAACCATTTGACACACTATGTCAAAATTTATCTTTTTCTCTGCAAATTAGCCGTAGCCTTAGTTTTCGGAGCTCTCACTGAACCTCCATAGGAGTAGGTGTAATTAACATAGTTTTGTTCCCAAAAAAAACCATCAAAAACATCAAACACCCTCGTTCGAACATTGTTCGGAGAGGAGTGGACCGTGTTGATTTTCGTTGTTCAAGAAGTCAAGGTGCATTTATTGAGTTCAAACACAGAAGTTTCCTCGCCGGAAAACAGTTATACAAGGAATTCCTATGTTGTTTTCAAGTAAAGTAACTTAGATATTTTTCACTTGCTATAGCACAGTTTTTATAATAAGGGTGTACAAATTTATTTTTTACAATGTAGATATTTTTAAATGATTTGAACCTACGACCTCCATGTTCAAACTTAGTAGTATTACCAATTAGACTAAACCCTTGTTTGTAACATTTATATTTACATGTCCCATTATACTAGTAATTACATAATGTTTACCAACCTGTATTTTTATCTTACATATCATTTGTAAAACAGTGTTACGTAAGTGTTACATGATATGCATATGCAATCTTTCAAAGTAATGAATATAAATATCGTGTTAATAAGTTGCAAATCATTACACAAGTCTTACGTAACCGAAGTTCAAGTACTAATACATAAGAGATAACTGCATTATTACATAATCCTTACGTAATGGGTGGTTCTTATACTTAATGAACATTAATCATGCGTTACATATAAAGTATTACGTAATTACAGAAGGTTTACGTAATACTTATTATTTAAACTGTCATGCAAGAGACAACTATCATTCCATAAACTTCACGTAATTGATGTGTATTTTACTTAATGGTCGTAAAATATCATTACGCAATGAAAGGTCATTTTATGTAAATACCATACGTAAATTGTTAAGTCATTACGAAAGTTTTACCTAACACTTATAATTTAACTGTTACGTAAGATATAATATTGTTCTCTAAACTTTACGTAACGTATATTTATTTTACGTAACAGTTGTAAAATATCATTACGTACGCCATACGTAATATAAGATCATTTTAATATTAATTACATAAAGTATTAAGTGATTACAAATTTTTTAGTACACTTTTGATAAAATGGGGGAGTAGATAGGGTGCTAACACCCTTAAGTGTTAGCAGTTACTATAAGGATATTAAAGTAATATATCTTCTCCCTTATCCTTCCCCTTTTCTTTCTCCTCACCCTTTCATTCAAGTTGCTTTTTAGGTTTTATTTACAAATAACAGTTTTGGTATCCAAACTTAATAGATATTAATATTTAGTATCTAAAATTAATTTTAACATTTCAGTCCTAAAAAAGTCAATGGAAAATTACATTTTAGTACCTGAAATTTATTGCTTTCGTTTTGATACCTAAATTTTTTAAAATTTACAAACAGGTCCACTACTAAGAAACTTCTGGCCTACAATCTACTTTGAGGTTCTGACCTACTATTAGGAGGTTATGACCTACTTTGAGGTTCTGGTCAACTTTGTGGAGGTTCTAGCCTACTTTGAGGTTCTGGCTTACTTTGTGGAGGTTCTGGCTTCATTTGAGGAGGTTCTGGCCTGCTTTGAGATTCTGGCGTACTTTGTAGAGTTTATGGCCTACTTTTGTGACTCCCCCTCCCTTCCTCATATTTAATGCAAAAAGGACAGCTGGTCCCCCTCCTCTTCCTCCAATTTTTATTAATGACTAGCGTGCCCCTCTTTCATTTTTCCTTCATTAATTGTGGTCAACTCATTTAAATGAAAAAGTTATCCAAACGAAATGTTCCTATTGGCTAGAGCTAGTGTTAACACCATGCTAATAAAAAAGGTGTCAGCATGCTAGCATTTCCTAAAATCCAACTACATGCAAGGATAATTAAAATAAAAATTAAAAAAGACGCACAATCTTTACAAGTTATAGGCCAAGTGCAACCTACAGACGGATGTAGGATAGGATAAGTATTTCAATATCAACCTGCACAATCTATCCATCCTTACTTCAATTATTCACACCTTATCTAGTGATCAATTTGTGGTTAAAGCTAAGGAAACTAAACAAATCAATCAAGCAATTAGTACTTGAACTTTGGTGAATTCGATTGAGAAAGAATCCCTCAGACATTGCTCCCCCAGTCTTGTGTCAAGATACAACGAATGCAGCTCTAGTGTCATAAGTATATCATATACTGCGAGCAGGTCACAATTGGCTAGGAAATCCTAACTCTCTTAATCGATTGAATAAAGATTGCAAAACCACTCCCTCATAAGTTAATCCCGAACGGCGAAAAGTAACAAATGAAGACGAAATCATGGCACTAATTTGATGATCGAGGGATGACCCGAATTGCGCTAGAGAAGGTAATCTCAATTGCCAAGAATGAGCTATAAGGATATTTCCTCCTTCTAGATCAATTTGGCTCTAATTTGAGAGATATGATCAACAACACACAAGTTCCACGAATAATACCTCAATCATTATATAAATAACCAACCAAACACACATAGAGTTAAATTTCTACAATCTAACACATCCTAGACTAGGATTCACAACATCCAAGTGAAATTGGAGATTACTCCATAGCTAGAGGAGAAAATACAAATATGATAGAAGAAAAACCCATTTCAAGTTGATCCGCCTTCTTCTTAGATGCTTGATTAAACCTTTGGAGAAGAAATCAACCTTCCTCTAGCCTTAGATAGGTGAAATTCTCATTCCTTCCTTCTTACCTTGTATCTATCTCTCTCTAAACCTCGAAGAAGAAGCTCCAATCTCTCCCTAGGGCTATTTCCTTTCAAAGCAGCCAAATCTCCTTTATATAGGTCTCGAGTGCACAAGTAATGGTCTCACATCATGCCAGTGAAGTCGACTGTGAAACCATGATCTTGGCGCAAAATGCTATATTTCACTAACGAACTTCACGGGCTGCTTGTTGACATCACGGTTTGGCGACCGTTATCTAACATTGCCTGCAAGCCATATGAATCCTCCTGTCATAGTGAAATCTTCACGGTTTGCTTGTGCATTTCATGGTTCACGCCCGGGAAATTTGCTCTGCAACCGTGATCTCTGCGTTTTCAACCATTTTGTTCCCTTTTCGACTTCTTTCGTCCGAATTTCGATCCCTGTCCCAACATTGCAGGCTAAGGTCTAAAACATAACTAAAACATGAATAAACACTGCATAAACTAGCTCCAAGGACGGTGCAAATACATCAAACGTTGCAAGTAAAGGGGTACAAAAGGGTGTAATCTAACCCGAATCAACCCCCCCCCCACACACTTGAACGTTTGCTTGTCCGATCCCCAAGAAAACCTGATCAAACCAGTACAACTTGTATGACAAAAACAATGGTATGCACTATCCATCATTGTTGGTGCCTCGAGAATAATAAAATTCGGTTAAAATTTTCTTCCATCTCCTCGTGCCATGCACAGTCTCGGTCTCAGTTGAGGACCTTGTCAACTAAGAAGGTCTAGACACTTCACGTGTGCA